TGTTTGAGTCTTTGTTCTGCTCAGACAACAACGGATTGAATGGACCAACAGCCCATAGGTTTAAGCCATTAGTTTCTTTGGCTACTAAATCAAGGTATGAACCTTCTATTACTCTGGATGTATTGTAAAGTTCTCCAGAGCAAATTTTCCCTTCAAGGGCTCCTTGTTTATTCCACAATTCCCATAACTCTGGGGTAGCACAGTTTTCGCTTGATATAATGTCCTCAAATATCTCAGTTTCGGGTTGGAAAGGTTTTCCTTTGGTTTCCCAATAGGATGAAAACATATAGAAAGCTGAGAAACCATTAAAACGGTAGCACTCGGCATTTGGAATTGCTGGTATATCCTCCAACACCCAAGTCATCAGAGAATCATAAATAACAATCACTCTCCGATGATTGGCGCCTAAGAGTTGGTTTACAAGAGAGCACACTGGCTCACGGAAATGGATTGTTGCATAAAGTAAAGGGATCATATGGTTAGGAAATTTATGAGAAGCATTTGGATTTGGAGGGGGGTTTTCAAAAGGTGGTGTAGGAAATTCATGAAAATGTAGGTTTTTAGTAGTAACAGGGTCGAAACCATGGACACATAACTTGACCTGGCGAATATGAGTGGTTGCTCCAACATAGTACACTGGGATATTATATGAGGTGATTAGTCTCGAGAGGTGCTCCAACATAGTACACTTGTGCATCTTGAACACTTATTTGGCCATTCCTTTTTGTTGTGTTGTTCTCAGCCATTGGGAAAATGTTTAGAATTTTTTTGCAGTTTTATGAGTATCTGCAGCTTCCAATGAAAACATAGATGCTCTTATAATGCATGAATCCAATGAAAACTCATACTTGCTTGTGGGCTGCTAAAAAATTTAATAAATGTATGGAAAACATGTAGAGCTGTAGCCTGTATGCAGTCGTTTTCTTTGTTTTTTTCTTAATACACTTGGTACGCTGTTGCTTGTTGTTGTTGTCGTCGTTGTTACACCACTGACAAGTGGTTACAAAAAGGTTATATTCTTAATTCTCTGTGCTATGGATTTATGTAGAAAAAAAAGGTGTTGTGTGTTCACAATTCAAAATATATCATACTATATATTTAGACTGCAGTTTCTTAATTTTCAGTTTGAGTTTTGTGCTACAAGAGACTGAAGAGTCAATATTGAATTGTTACCAACTTTTCCCCCATGTTCTTGCCGCAGGGGCGGAGATAACATGGAAGGTATGAGTTCGGCAAAACCTAGTAAGTTTGGTCTGAACTCTGTATATTTGTTAAGAAATTCACTAAAAATGTGCATATAATAAACTTCAAATATGCTTGAAATTGTCTCTTAAATAAGAAGTTAATGCTTGAAACTCACCTCCCTAATCTGCTTGAAAGCTCTTAATCGGACGACCAAAGTATTTTTCCACAATTTTTCGAAATTGAATAAAAACGGAAAGAACTTCAGACTTGAACTTAAGAAAATAGATCCATGTGTATTTGCTATAATGATCAAAGAAAATAACATAATATTTGTATCCATCATTCGAAATAACAGGTGCTGGACCCCAAACATCCGAACAAATCAAATCTAAAGGGCCTGTGGCCTGAAAACTAGAATCAACAAAAGGAATTTTATGACTCTTGCTAACAGCACAAATTGGACACAAACTAGAAGACCCACAACTAGACGAAATAATTTTACTAGAAGGCAAAGCCCGACGAACTATAGGATAAGACGCATGAGCCAAGCGCGCATGCCAAACACCAAGTGAAGCAGCATATGAAGATGGTGAAGAAATTGATGTCCATATCGGAAGGGAGTATAGACCTCCCTCATACGGTCCTTTGTGAAGAGCTGCCTTCGTTGCCAAATCCTTAATAAAAAAATAGTGAGGAAAAAATTCAATTAAGACTTGGTTAGAATTAGTAAAAGAACTAATAGACAATAAATTTTGGGTAGCAGTGGGAACATGAAGAAGGCTATCAAGAACGTAGGACTTATCAGAAATATATAGAGATCCTTTACCAATATGCGAGATGGGCAATTTGGAACCATTACCTAGAGTAACTTCTTCAGGACCATGATATTCTGAGTGAATAGCAAGGTTGTTAAGATCAGATGTCAGATGATGTGTGGTGCCACTATCCATCAACCAATTTTGTGTTGTTTGGGAAGATGTACTTGCTAGATTTGAAGAAGGACGACCAGATACCCGATTTCCATTCATAGTCCTAGGTGACGGACAAACTCGTGCAATATGACCCTTTCCTTCGCAATTATGGTAGACAATTCCAGAATAATCAGTGGAAAGGGGTGGATTTCCTGAATAAGTTTTCGAATGAGTTGCAGTGGCATAATGCTGACTTTGAGATTGTTGTAAACTTCCATGGCTAGTAGAGCGACCACGACCCCTATTAGTACGCCCCCTGCCGCGTCCACGATGTGTAGAGAATGAACTTTGTGTGTACTGTGCTGTTGGGGCAATAACAGTACTGGCATCTTCACGTTTTAATTGTTTTTCGTCATTCAACAATAAACCATAAAGGGCATCAAAGGTGATGTCTTCGTGACGTGATTCAAGCGACCTTGTGAAGGGGCGATAAGCAGAACCTAATCCGGCAAGAACAAACTCGACTAAATCATCATTAGTGACTGGGTGCTGCAAGGCAGCCAACTTATCAGCAATAACTTTTGCCCCTTGCACGTAACTTTCAATAGTTGCATTATCACGGCGCAAGTTGTGCAATTGTGCCTTAAGTTCACGAATCAATGGTTTAGATCCACCAGCATAGGCTGCAACAAGTTTGTCCCAAGCTGCACGAGCTGTTTCTGCTCCGACCAATTGAGGGAGAATACTTTCTGAAACTGAAGCGACTATCCAACTCAAGACGAGTTGATCTTGACGTACCCAAACCTTATATGCAGGATTTGGTTTATCACCATCCAAAACACGTGGTGGTGCTGGTTCGCTACCATCAATATAATGGTTAAGACCACAACTGCAAATCATTGGAAGAATGTGTCTTCCAAAGCAAAAAATTTGTTGACGTAAGCTTTACTGGCAACTGGTGAGCGAGATTAGGTGTAGGATAGTAGTTTCCCGTGGCATTCGTTGAAACAACTGAAGCTGCCAGGGTAGAAGAGTTCTCAATATTATCTCCCATTCGAATAGTCGTTTCTGATATTCAAAGAATTTTTATTTTTTGGAACGAAAGAAAGAATGGTCGTTAAACTACAAAAGGCTCTAATACCATGTAAGAGATATTAATTCATAAAATATGTACAGCAATATGAATATATAGGTAGACTAAACACAGAGTCCTATAAGAACTAGGCAACACAGATTGAGGAGAAATAGTCTCCTAAGACATCACAACTTACTCACCCTTTTGCATAGACTTAGAAACAATTTAACTTTAAAATTTTTCATTTCCTTTAACATAATGATTTACGATCACATCAATATTTTAAGAATTGTTTTAAACCACAATTTTTTTTAAAAAAAATTAAACATCATGTCAAATCAAAGCGTGTCACATCAAGGAGGACGATTATTTTTCCCCTTTAATACCACGAGTACTCTATCTTAAACTAAGTGAAAAAAAATATTAATTCTAGTCAATCAATTGGATGAGAGAATATCTCAAAAATAAGTGTTCCTCGTTAATTAAGAAAATCACCCCCACTCAACAACTCACCTCCCTTTATAGTGTGTTATCTTTTAGTTTAATAATTTTAATTTATATTTGATAATTTTTTAAATATGCATTAATTATTATTATTATTATTATAGAATAATGCTACTTTCAATTCACTCGTGAAATTCAGACAGTCGCGGGGGAGGGGGCACCAGGATCGGGCTCCTCTCTTACTCCTCATACGAGACCGAAAAAGAAACTAGCGAACCATTCAATATTTTTTTAAAAATAAAAATTTATAAATTTAAAATCCTAATTTCGGTTCGAATAAACCTTTAAAAACATGGACAAATTTTAGTATGCCGACATCCCTCCCGCAATACACTCTGATAGTATATTTAATTACTTTCAAAATTAAAAAAAAAAAAAAAGAAATGGGAAAAGTCCAAACTATGTCAGTATAATATAAAAGAAAATAGAGAATCTATATCATAAATTCATGCCAGCATTAACTTGATTTTAAGATGTCGAATCTATATATTTGTATGTTTTCTTTTAGATTTCTCATAAAAAATTTATGTAAATTTATCATTATACTTTTTATGTTATTTTAAAGTCAAATTTTCAATAAAAAATATAAATTAATTTATTTTGATTAATAAATTGATAAATGAACATGAATTAATCAATTTAGTTTTCCTATGTTGGTTAAATTCATACTTTCAAGGCTAATAACTCTCAAGGGTAAAATAGGAAGAATACTATTATTTATGTATTGATTATGTGAAATGATAAGTATTAAGAGACATCTATTTTTTAGTAAAAATAACATATAAATAGGAACGGAGGAATAGTTGAATATGCACCATTTAATAGACGACGATGAACAATCGTGTTTATTATCTAGTGATATGAGCAATGAAAGAATCCAATTCCTTCCTCGTTACACTGCTTTCCACCACCGATCTCCGAATAGCCACCCCTAACTCCGCCGCTCTCCGACGAATTTCATTTCCTTCAATATTATTCAACATTATTGTCACAATTACATGTTCAATAATATTTGATTTCACCACTTCATTTCTACTACGTTCCCAATTATTGAAAATATTTATACCAACTTTCAAAAACTTTGTTATTAAAATACTATTTCTTGGTTGATCAGAATGCATGGGCCATGCAATAATAGGTACTCCCATTGATAAACTTTCCACGCACGAATTCCATCCACAGTGACTCATAAATGCACCGATTGATAAATGTCCTAATATCTCCAATTGTGGTGCCCAATCTCTTACTATAATACCCTTATTTTTAATTCTTTCTTCATACCCTTTTGGCAGTTCAATTTTTCTCATTTCACCAGAAAAAATATCACCTTTATCAGCATCTCTTAATGCCCAAATAAACTTTATACCACTTTTTTCTAAACCTATACAAAGCTCTTCGATTTGCTCATCGTTTAGTGAAGTTGTTGTACCAAATGAAATAAATATGGCGGATTTCGGAGATTGTTTATCGAGCCATAACAAACATTTGTGACGATGATGATGATGATGATGATCGATTGATAAATAGTTGTTGGTAATAATCTTCATTGGATTGAATGGACCTATAGCCCATTGTGTTTTGTTTCTTTTGATTGGTTCTTTTTCAAGTAAATTCATGAATTTTCCTTCTATAACTCTACTTGTGTTGTAAATATTTCCAGAATCAGATTTTGAGTATTTCCTTTGAGAAGCCATGAAATCCATGAACTCTGATGTGAAACAACCTTCAACATTACAAGAAAAATAAATATAAGAGATGGTATATATGTAACAAAATAAATATCATATCATCATTCTAGTTTACATGTTGAAGTGTGTAATCATCTCATCTAAAAGTTTAAGATCTTAGAGAGAGCTAGCACGTGATATTTATTATTTAATTATATTCTCAACACGTACAACCCCTCATGTGCGTGCTTGTTTTTTTTTTCCATGGGTCAAGTACGTGGATTTTTTTTTATATGGTTGGCGGTGAGGTTCGATTTCAGGACCCTGCCTTCTCTGATACCATATGTTCATGAAGTGTGTGCGTATTTCATCTAAAAGTTTAAGTTGTTAGAGAGAGCACGCTATTAAATCAATACATGTATGGAATTGTGGGACCATCTTGTCTTTAATTTAAGTAGATGTAGGGAGAGAGAACACACTTTTATTCACTTGGAAGCCTAATTCTTTTTTTCGTGGGATTATATAAGCATAATGAATGACGATAAACTCGAACTTAGGACTTCTA